ACTGCTAATTACAGCTTGACCTCAAACCTTAACTTTTAATCTCCAGACCAGTTTTCCTCACCTATCTTTAACCAACAGGTGGGCTGGCAGTTTTTGGGAAAATCCAAATAACAAAACTTTCGGCTGCGCTCTGACGGGATTGTCTGTGAAAACCCTCCCTTCAGCCTGCCTTACCCTCACCTTGAAACACGTGGTGTGTGAGACCATGTGGAAAAGGGGGAAAAGTATATGCATATCGGTACCTGAGTCCGGCATCTTGGGCATTGGTGCTGCAGAGGCTGCGAACTTGACAGTTGAGACACCTGTTGCCAGCGAATTTGACAGTTGAGACACCTGTTGCTGTCCATAACGGTCCGGGCGGGGTGGGGTGGGGCGCACACGCCCAGGACCGGGTTTCTTCACGCAGGCTGCTGGACCCGCCTCAGATTCTCAGATTTTTAAATACACTAATCCTTTTTGGGATAAAAATGTGGGGGGGGGAGGGGAAGGAAGGAAGACACCAACGCCAAAATCCTGTTTCTGAACAAGCCTGAAGCAGAGCGGCAATTCAGAGGGGAGCCCGAAGTCCCCGACGGCCACGTGGCCCAAGTCCAAGCAGCGTGAGGGCAGAATCAACGCCAGCCTCTCACGGAGATTGTGGGCAAAGCCTGGGGTTGGTTTCTCTTCAAGCAGTGTAGGAATAACTCATCCAGGTACTCTGTAAGCATGAAAAGATGTTTCGGTGCAAACGGAAACCTCCAATGCTGCATAGAGCGACGCAAAGCAGCTCTGAGCTGCGGCTCTTCCTCGCTCGGCGTTGGCAGTTTCTTAAGGAGAGCGGACACGTGCTGTCCCTCTGTGCGCTTTTCGTTTCTCCCTTTTCACCCAGTAATTTTTGAATTAAATTGACTGACTTTGAATTTAACAGCTGGGTGAGAACCTTAAAGATACAAAGCTCTGAAAAAATTCTTGAAAATTGGTGTCTGGGTAGAGGACAGAGACCCCCTAAATGGTGGCCCTTGTGGGGAAAATCAACTCTCTGGGCTGCCCTGTGCTTTGCTGTCTCTGGTGCCAGACCAGCACACACATGTAAGACCAAGCTTTGTTAATATATCTGCCCACAAAAAGACTTATTTGTGCCAAGGAGTTAGGCCACTGTCCGTTCTCCTTGCATTTTAAATTGGAACATAGCTGCATCTCTGTCATTGCAAAAATTTGGTCGTTGCTGAACCAACTTTTCTTCTTGACCTCCGTTTCCATCCAGTCTAAAAATGTACTGCTATATCCACGTATTACAGATCTTTTTGTTTGTTAGTTTTTAGGAATTACTATCCAGACAATTTGGGATATACCAGGGAGGCAGGCAGTGGCATTGCTTTTATTTGCCAACAGTTGTCGTGATGGGTGGTGGCAGCAGAGTTTCCATCCGCTGTGCAGACACAGTAGTTATTTGAGTGTGACATGACCTTCAGATTAGATAATCATGGGCTGTTATTTTTATCAGATCTGCCAAGAAAAAAAAAATCACTTCCTTCAAAAGCAAAATAGAATTCATGATTTTCCCAGGGAAACTGCATACTATTTTGTGTAACAGGGAGGTGTTTTTGTAACTAAAATTCTTCTCTTATGTAGACAAAGAGAGTAGAGTAAAATATGGCCTTGACATTCTTAATGAGGCAGCATATGTGATGCTGTGCAAGACAGACGTTGCTGGGATCCTGCAGCTTTGGTTAATATAGACACAGGCTTGTATTTTATTTGTCTTTTAATCCACTGGACAATATTATACAAAGAAAATATTTATTTCACAAAACAGTCGAAAGCCCATCTTCATTCAGGGGTTATTGGAATTCATTTGTATATGAAGAAATTAATCTAATAGGTGCTTAACTCAGTCCACGATTTTTACATTCTGTGTCTAAGCCTTCTCTCTTTTGCATCACATATTTTGGTGTACATTTTATCAAAAAATAAGAGTTTAGCGAGTATGTCTGAACATCTTAGACCCTCGCATACTGTGTTCAAGCTCATGCCATGATTTTCTTTAGGGAGTATATGTTAAGTGCCAAATATTATGTTGACATCAGGAAGTGAGCCTTCCGCTACTGGAAACATGTGCTGCCAAGTATAGCATTCCTAAGTAAATATGGAATCAGAGATCATTGTTTATGATCCACCTATTCACCCGTCCAAGCGTCTGTGCCCTGATGTCCAAAAGCAAAAGGGAGTTTCAAGGTTAAAAGTACACAAGATCACTTTTCTCCTCAGTTGACTTGAGGCCTGATCAGGCTCCTCTTGAAATCACTGTGAAGAAACTCTACCCCTCAGTAGTAGAAACCACTTCCAGAAGTTTTGTTCCTTATTTGGAAGTGTGATGCAATTTAATGACCACCTCAGGGTGACTGACCTGAATAAGAGGCAATTTTCAGCCTTGTTCCTGACTCTAATTCCGTATATACCCACGTGTGTGCTGTTTGATGCATTTGGTTCAGTGGTCCAAACCTGGCTTTAATAGCTGAGGAGTCCCGTTTTAATGTCTGGTGACGAGAAAGATGCCATACTTATATCCAGATGGATCCTTGCTCTCGTTTTGGCCCTGGAGGGCAGCAGGCATTTGGCGTGGTGCAGAGTAATGTCAGAATCCATCAGCTACTACCAGCCAGCTCCAATAGAAGGAAACTGGGTTGGTGCCAGATTTGCTTGCCTTTCCTAGTATGATATGCACCCAGCACAACTAAACCTGAAGAGTCAAGTCTGAAAGATCTGAGACATTATTTCAGTTCATATCACTCTCTTACAATTGGTAACATAATTTGTTTATTTGAGGAGATAGAGCACTTCATTGTGGTTGCTATGTTGTTTATATCCTATTTGGGGATGTTGTGGAATGTTCTTAAAACAAAAGGCTGTGACCTTTTCTAAAGTCCTTGTGCAAAATAATCTGTCATATGCTTACGTCTCGTGCTCATCCATGTTGCCATTGCTTTCACATCCTCATATATGTCTCTGTAGAAGGAATTTTTCATTACATGTTTATATCATATGTTTATATAACAGTGTTTGTATTATATATGTCTAAAATATTTGGGGGCAGCTATGGCATCCATTTCAATAGACATTTAATACATTTCAAATGTCCAATTAACCAACTTTAAAAGTCCCAGTACTTCACAACTCAGCTTTCTATACCAAGTTTTGTGAGGTAACTTGTATTGTGTGACTTGTTAAGTGCGGTTGAGTGCAATGGGAGCCAGGGAGGCTGCATTTTGATCATTATATTTTAATACTGTCTGCTTTTTTTATGGAACTCGCATACACAGAGTTCCTTCTACTATACATCATGTACCACTGTAGTCTGAGTTTTGGCTTAACATGCTTAAATTTCCAGTCTCTGTTTAATGGCACGATAAAGAGTTATATTTTTCTCTCTGTCCTAGGAAGAAAGTATATCAGAGGTATTACTTGTGGTGGCAGCATATGTGCAACAGACACTTTCTATCTTAGAAATGGTTTGAGAGAGTTATTAACTATGATTTGTACTTGTATGACTGGAAAGAAAGAAAATCAATTAGTACTGGCCATTACATAGCCCTGAGCTAATAAGATATAGGCAACAGATCCTATCAGTTCTTTTGGGATTGCCAATTATCCAACTTGGAACGTACTATTAATATTTGGGAGGCAATACTGTCAGGAAAATTCCTTCAGGAGGAAGCCTGGATCTTCTATTTCAGAATGGAAGGGTTGCAACAGGAAAAGGAAAGAATGAAGCTTAACCACATTTTGACCTTAAAAAAATGCCTTTTAAAGTGAAAAATAACAGCATTTCTCTCTTTAATCATTTGCCTATTTAAAACTGTGGTAACACTTTAATGTACACTGGCTAAAAGTCAGGGATGATGCCCATTAGTATCATATCCAGCTACTTGGAACAAGAGATTTAGGAATGAGTGAGAACTGAGGTATGACACAGGCGTTTAACCTATAGGAACTGACAGTGTTGCTGCTTGTACCCTTGGCAAGTGTTTGGGAAGGCAATATCAAGCAGCCAACCTAAATAAATGGGAAGCGTCTCACTGTTTAGAATAAGAAGTAGCCAATTTTTTTCTCTCTATATAAAACACCTAAGTGATGAGATTGGAGCAGACAGTTATTATATTATTTCCACTCAAGATGTAACAGTCTGGAAGTAGAATAAAAGAAGGCCCTTCCCAGGAATTAGGAGCTGCAAAATCCGAAGTACCATACAGATTGCAGTCAGGGCTGTATGTCCCCTTCAAGAGCTCCAGTGGCATCCTATTGATCCCTGCTGCTCTGCTGGACCTGGGATGGACAACATGTGTTGGGGCCAGGGCTGTCAGCCTTGCTGAGAGGGGAGCGCAAAATGCGGGTGATTCTGTAGCGGTGGTTATGGAGAAGCTACAGCTTCCTAGCTTCCTAGTTCCCTCTCACCTGTAAGGGAGACCCAGAGTAAGGATCAGCCCCAACGTAACAAGCAGAGAAAAATGCCTGATAGCTGGATCAAGGAAGAAGCGGGCTATAGGCTGAGCAAGGGATCAAAATGATTTTAAAAAATCTCTGTTCCGCTACTCTTGATAAACCAGTTGTGAATCTTAACACTGGTTTCATCATCCTGTGACAGCTGTGTTGTAAACCCCGTGGTTATGTGGTTCTGCCTTGCCTCCTGTTCTCCTGTTCAGGCCATGGCTATAGCTACCTTTCATTTTCACAGGCATAGCCAATTCCAGTATCTAAGATAATAATTTAAATGTAAATATCTGGAAATAATCCTTGATAATTAGGTGTGATCCATAATCCACAGGAATATGAAGGATCAGAGATACCACTTGCCCAGTCTGGCTTGGTAGTTCCTATCTTATTCATAGTATCACCTCTGAGACCTCTTTTTACAGAATGTTATGCTAAATATTGTCTGTTTCATTCACTGTTTGATTGCTCAGGCTAAGGAAGCTTGAAGAGCTGCAGGGAGAAAACTCATTTTACCAATTTTGTTTTTAAAGCTGTGGAAGAACAAGCAGAGAGAGGGTGCAGAAATTCAAGTGTAAGGAGCAGAAGAATTGTGGAGGAAGGCATGAACCTGACAGCTATGGATCTGCATCCTGTTCATGTGGCTGGGATCTCAAAGGTAGCAGTTTACTGATTTTGTTGACAGCTGAGCCATATCCTTCTACTAGATAGCGTAGCATTATGCCACTGCAAGTGGGGATATAAGACTCTGAAATTGAATATGCAGAACTGGATAGAGGACACAATCTAGACAAGAGCAGATGATGGATCCTGTTCAAGAAAGAGAAAATGTAACGGCGCAGTCAGATCATTCTTATGATGCAAATAAAGGATGTAGGGACCTAAATCCAGGTTTCATTAAACTCAATAGCTGTTTTGGCATGGATCTTAAAAAGGCAAGTGTTATAGTCATTAAAGGCTAGATGTTGTCCCTTTCAACATTAGTGGGAAGATTGTCATTGACTTTTGATAGCAAGGAATTATGCCACTCATTTTGTAACATGGAAATAATGTTTAGTCAATTTGTTTTGTGCAGAAGCTTCTAAAAGAAGAGAGCCAAGATATAAAAGGAACAATGAACTGAAAAAGCAGCTGTGGAATGTTTTTTGTTATTCATATGTTAAAACTTTCTTTTGAAATAGTCTTGCTGAGCTTACATGTGTTATTTGAAGATAAAAAGAAAACTTAGGGTGGCATTTTCAGCAGGGACTTTCTCTTGTTCCCTCTCAAGTCAGTTGGATTTCCACACTGGCAGGTCAGGGTAGTGCTTTATAGAGAGAGTATAATCTAAACCAAAGCCCATTTAAAGTCCCCAGTCCAGTGGGAGTCTTTCTGCAATGTCAATTGCTTTAGACAAGAGTTTTAAAGACTTAGTTACTATTTCTGTAATTTTCTACAGCTGATCGTAGAGATACTTGTAACAGTCCTCTGACCAGTAATAAAAATACACTGATAGTTAGAGCTTAGTTCTCAAGAAAGCTGAAAAAGTTAATCCAGACACTTTGAACTGTTTCTGATCTTGTTAAAATTATCCCATAAATAATCAGCTTTCTCCAAAGTCACAGGCCAAGGCACAATTCAATTCCAGTCTGTAGGTGACTAAGTCACAGCTGCAGTATCAGACAACCTTTCAGTTGGGGTGCCAGGGTCCTAGTATGTTTCCAGGTCATGAAATACCACATGAACATAAGCTTGGCTTTTTTTCTAAGCGGGCAGTTAGGTGCAGTTGGAGAAATCAGCTTATCACAGGACCTGAAAATAACAATTTGGAATGCTAGTTCATGTACACCCTTGCAAACAGCAGAAGTTCATTTAAACAGTGTACACATTTGAGTTTGCATAGACTGATGAATAGGGGGAAAAAAAAGAGAGAGAGAGAAAAAAAAAAATCAGGGCTCTAGAGCTGTTTTAAAGATTAACTTTCACACAATAACACCCTAATGAGCACCTTTGATATAACTGGAATAGAGAAAACCTCTTTGGAAGCCAGGGCTCAGTGGGGGGATTCTACTGAGTTTATGCTGAACTAATGCAGCTAAGAGACACCTCAGAGAAACCTTGTACAACAGCTCGGAGAAGAGAATCACTTCAGATGTATTTTAAACTCATATTTTATTATGCTTTTGCAGTAGTGTTTCTGAGTTTGTAATCAATCGTGTTTCTCAGAAACAAGGTACAAGGAGGTCTGACAGACAGGCCATGCAAAATAAGACAAAGTGGCAACCACATGGTTGCGGTATGCTTATTTGTTGCAGAGTCCATTTTAGGGGATTGCTGAATACCACTTAAAATGAGACATATTCACTAGAGACCCCTATCAGATCTCCAGGAGATGCTGGCATCTCTGTGGAGTATAGAGCTGGTGTTACCACTGCTCTCCTGTGGAAGATGGGTAACAGCTGGTGGCTCTGTCTTGCAGGCGTTTACATGACTGCAGCACTCGACACACTGTCATGAGGCTTGTCAGGTAAAGCTCTAGTTGTGGATGGAAGGAAGGAAATCAATGAATCACCAAGAATCAGTGCACAGCCCTTCCTGCATTCTTTTGAGAGGTTTCACTAGGCCTCTGACTAATGTAAGTACTGAAAACACAAGTAAGACTCTGGTAATTACTGTGGGGCTCTGCTTTAAGTAAATCATAGGTAGGATGTTTTCACTATTCTAACAGTGTTTGCTTATAGAGCCTCCTTTGTTGCAATAAAGTGCTCTTTAATCTCCTCCAAATCAGCCACATTAGCTAAGAACAAGCTCAATTCACATTTTAGCTACTTAACTTATCTTCCACTAAGTAGTTCTCGTGAATTTATGAGGTGATGCTTGGTAGCTATCTTTATTTTACCAGCAAGGACAGTGGAACCAAAGCCCGGATGTGACCATCCCTGAATGTATGATACAGGTCTTGCATACATGGTGTTATACCACCTCCAAGGGGAAATCTTTGAAAACTGGTCTGCAAAGTTTCTTAACTTTGTTCTTAGGCACAAATGTGCCCTGAAACCTATGGAGGAGTTATGTACTGAAGAGCTCTTGAAAATACAGCTTTGACAGTTCACTATAATAGTTCACGCTTTCTTTCCTTACATTGTCTTCTTCATTGCTATACTACTAGCTCTTTGCTGCACTGGATTTCAGAGGATAAGCAGTTCTAGGAGATAAATGCAAAGGCATTCTACAAAGTAGGAGCTCCTCTCTCCTGTGAAAATGGTTTTTCCTTTTATATGAGGGATATTTAAAGATTTCCCAGCCCTACAGCCTACATCAGATGTCTTTTAATCACTATTTTGTAATATTTTTAAGGCCTGTCAACACAGGCATTCGCCACCTTGCTCTACTCACTGAGAAAGGCGGCTCCAGTCCCAAGGAAGCTTCCTTCTCATGCTATTTTCAGAGTCCCTTTGAATTAATTCTATACCTCTCTGTAACCAGCCAAAACTATTATCCCACACTCCACATTGCAATCCTGCAGGGGCTGACTTACATGAATTCTTTTAGACATACAAGTCTTACACTGAATTCAGTTAAGGAACTCAGAAAGATTCTTCCTCTTTGTAAAATTATTCAACTGTCATTACTGAAAAAAATCTGGACAGAAAAATATATAGCATCTTCACTCTGAGGACTCCAGAGACAAAAGCTGCACTGTCTGTAAGGAATGAATTAAGACAAATTAGTGCAAGGTGTTCTAAGAATGACCTAAAAGGACATGAGAGGACTATCCTAACTGAAATAAAAACCAGCTTCTAAAAGGCATTTGTGAAATGGTTACAGCTTTTGTGTATAGGTGAGGCTTGAGAAAATAAGAACATAGTTCCATTTTTATTTGAAAAGAGGACTTTCTAGGAATAGAATTACATATTTAGTTTTGATTTGTCCTTCTGGTTTGGGTTTGGCTTCTGCTTAAGATTGAGCCTAGGTTTTGGTTTCAAGTGTAGCTGTACTCTGAAGTTATGCTTTCTATGTTTCAGAGGGTCTTGACAAGGAAAACAAATCCTCTTTAAAAGTAGCTAGATAAAATGGCTTATTTTTATTTTTATCTTCTAATCTGCTGTGAGGCATCCTCTTACCACTTAGATAGCAGAAACAAATCCACCCCTTCATCAGAAAGGGGCAGGTTGTACGGGCTGCTGGAGTATATGGAACCCCTGGGGAAGGTGAGAGAGCTGGAGCATGCTGGAGTCCCTTGCCTTTTGCTGAACGGGTGATGAAGGGAGAAGTAGCATCTGCAGAGCAGGGCCAAGAAGGAGAAGAAACCCTCAAGGCAGGGAGCAGGAGTATGGGAGGTGGGAAAGGTGCTGCTGCAAGGTCTGAAAGCCCTGTGAGAACCTGTGGAGCTGTACTGAACGCTAGGAAGACAAATAGGCCAGATGGCTTTTGGATAGATAATGGGAAGGAAGGAAAGAAGGAAGGAGCTGGGGGAAATGCCTTGAGACCTGTGACAACTTTCGCAAGCAGCTGATGGGAGGAAAGGAAGCAAGGCTGTGGCACAGGGATTGTTCTGCTTCTTCAGGCCCTAACGTCCTTCCCTGTCCTCCACCTTGTGGTGCTAACCGCTCTGCTGAATGTGCCAGAGAGACAGACCACAAATGCCATTTTCTGTCCAGCACCGAATCTTACAGAGTAAATATAACAATGATGAGATTTGGGGTTGCATCTAAACTGGAACACAAAAATTAGACTCTCTCTGGTTTTGTATCTGACCTGGAAGTAGAACTGTAATAGTAAGTTACAATCTAGACATTATTATTTTTCCGTGGATGAGAATGCAAGGCCAAGATTTCAGGCTTGAGGGACTAAATTTAAGTTCCCCAAACCCAAATTTAGATACCTAAATAAGCTACTTTCCCAGAACCCGCTGGGCGATTACCAGTAGCAAAGATCAAACTAGTAATCTAGGCAGCTAAAAAGCACTTAGGAGCCTAACATTAAGCACCCACTTCTGAAACGTGCTGACACTGAGTTTTAGCCCATTTCTGATTTATATATTTTAATTTTTGCAAAGTTTTTTTCCAAGTGCAAGCATAAGACACCTAGGTTCTCTTGATACTTTGTGATAATAGATACTGTTTGCCAAAATTTGCTCTCAGCCTGCAGCCCAAGCCATAGCCGAACATTACAGGAGTTCTGACATTGGCTGAAGCCTGCCAGTAGCTGTCCCTGCTTTTACTGACTGAGGAAATGCGTTTGGCAAAAAGGTGATAACTGCATTCAACTGAAGGAGGATTTACTTAGTAAAATAGCCCCAGATTTTCCACATCTGAAGTAATTTTCCATAGTAACTTGAGAAGGGATGTCAGCCAGCTACAGAAGTGTGAGCATTATCTTCATTTTTCTCTCCTGGCCAATTACTTCTTTTGTTTTTATGATCTCCAAGAGAATAATTTGGCTAGTGAGTAGCCTGTGTAGGTTTGCCAGATAGTCATACGGTCCGAACCCCCTCCAGCTAAGTATATACTGCATTGCCTGTTGTATAAATAAGGAAAAACACTCATTGTTCATGATGCAGATAGGAAGGAGAGAAATGACATTTAAACATAGAAAAAAGATGCAGCAGAGGAAAATAAGCAAAACAGAAGCAGTGCCCCACGCAGGGAAGTGGAAGACATAGCAAAACTATTGAAG